ATAAATAAGGAATTTACGAGTATTTCTGATAACCCCCTTGATATCACGAAAATCTCAAAATTACTCTGGTTCTGAGGCAAAATAATGCATCTTTCCAAGGGTTAACGTACATAGTGTTCTGTTTTTTACCACACACTGTTACTTAATATTCATTTCCCATTGGTTTTCTGTGTTTATGTGATGTATTCTTGGCAAAATAACCTTTCAAATGATATTTTTCCAATTTTCAGGGGAGATAACCCAATAATTAAAAATTATTGTTTTGCTTCTAACTTGGCTATCTTTCTGTGAATTTTCATAAAATCCTGTACTTCAGTACATTTTATACTACTTTTTCATATTTCAAAGAGCTCAGGAAAGTTTTGTGCTTAGTTTGACAATTATAGAATCTATACTTATTTTGTTATTTTAACTGCAGGGTTATGTAACAAATTGAGTAATCTGGGTATAAATCTTGGGTTTCCAGCTTTTTTTCTTCCTGTGTAAGCTGTTTGGGTGTTCTTCGGTGGATTGTGAATATTTTTGTGTTATATTTGTGATTTACAGAGAGAAGAGAGATTTCAGTAAGCTTCTTCATTTAGTGAGAATCAGGGGGAGTTAACTTTGAAGGTCTCTTACGCACACTGCGATGAGCTGACGCTCATAAAATATGTATTTCTAGTATCCTGAAATGTTAAGCTTTCAAAAAGTATATCTTATGTCATGTTTTATAACACTTCATATTTGGTCAATTTTGGGAAATGCTGAGCACCCAAATTGTGAAACCTGCCACATGATTTTCGAGTTTCGCAGAAGGATTGATGTAAAATAATTTCAAGTTAATTACTTTATTCTAATAGAAAATAAACTAATCTTTTAATGGATACCTTTTATAAGCCGGTATTTTACATATTTTGAGTAAAAAGTGATCTTTAAACATTTTGATGGCATTTTTAAAAGCTTTCTATTTAGGCGCCAAAGGCTAAACATATATCACGAGAAAGCCCGTTTAAAGCTCTACAGTTCTCCGCCAATGAAAAGACGGTATTTGATTATCCCTCGTTCCGCGAAGCAGTTGAATGCACGCGTGTCAATTTTTCAACTGGCCGAACACGCATTCCAACCGTGAGGGGCTTCACTTTCGTCGGCGATTCTCCAGCTCCTAATAATCGGACATATAAACAACTTACACCATTGTAACGAGGAAAAGCTGAACTTTTACAAGGTGTACGGCATTTGGTGTTTTATAGCGAAAGAGCAAAGAAACAGCGATCGGAATTATCCCGATTTCACCGATACCACGCGGCCGGAAGGCCGAGATTGCCCGCGAGGCCGTGTTTACGCTACCTACTTTCATTAAAACAATTGAAAAATTAATATGCATGGCACAATCGAGGCCTGTGACAAGCTGATATATGCTTCCACTATTACATTACAAGAAATCGATGGGTAGGCTATGACAGAAGAAATGATAAATAAACCATCTAGGCTTTTTTTCCAGGCAAATCCTTAATAGAGATAGATTTGTCATCTGAGTTTATCTATTAAATGCTATTCAAGATAATCAGAAAAATAATCAAAACAGTTGAAGCGAGATAGATGACTGACATATCTTCTCTCTTATTCACTTCTATTGTAGATATTTTGCCAGATTAATACACATCCAAATGTCTGTGGAAATTAATGATAATAACGATAATAATAGCGACAACAGTAATAATGATATTATTATAATAATAAATTTTATAACCCAATATTAATAATAGTAACATAGTCTATCATTTTTATAGATAGCGCCTATACTTTTGTGTACGCACAGCTTTAGATTTTTTACTTAGATCCAAGTAGATCTCTACAAGTACAAAAAAACAACTATAAAAAATTGCTCATGTGCACTCACAAAAAGAATGGCACATGCAAACACATATATGCCCCCCCCCCCCCACACACACACACACACTCACACATACACACACACAAACTGATGGAGCAAGGTGGCAAAAGATATTTCAGCTGATTTTGTACCTAGCTCCTTCCTAAAAAGCATTTTGAGTCGTCATAATGAGTTTTTGATATTTTGATTGATTGCAGCCAAATGAAGACAGAGTTTGTGCCTGAACCACCCAAAAGAGAGCAGAAATCTGTACCTGTGTTCCATGATGACATCAAAACTAAAGACTTTAAGAAGGTTAGTTGTGGTCACATTTTGATTATTAGAAAATTCAAGGCTTACTTGTTTATGTGTCAATCTCATGAAGCCTTAAATTTGCAGTTGTCTTAAGTTTTTGACTCAGAAAGATTTGTGAAAGTTTGTTTTTCAATGTGGATATGAATCTATTCAAAAGTTGCAAAGTTGTTCTGAACTCTTTGATTGATAGTATACTTTAAAACTACTAATCTCTTCGGTTTCCCTTTTCAATTGTGAGGCAGCATGGTGAAATCAGGTGCTCGTCAAAATAATGAAAGTGAAGAAACTGGCATTTTTCAGCAGGTTTAGGAATTTATATCAACATTTTTGTTTTTTGGTCCGACACCTTTCATAACCATTAAAGAACACATTTCTGCGTAGATTTATTGAAAAATGATGATTAAAGGCATAAAAGAAGTAAATTTTCAGTTTTTATGGACTCTCAAGCTAAGGAAATAACTCAACTTTGGCAGCCATTTTCTCACAAATTTTACCTTTGAAACCAGGCGAACCCCATGTGCACCTCCTTCAATCACCAATTTCTCAACTTTTATCCATGATAGATGGATATTTTTTTCATCCAAAGCAATGCAAATGAATAGGCTTTAAGATGATACCAATAACTCCATAAGCTCGAAAATAGACAAGCAGATTCCACCATGTCTTGACACAATTTTTATTCTTTGTTTTGTTTCATCATTTGTCTTTCTTTTATCACATACCATGAAGACTGAAGATGAAGTATTTTCTTAAACAAGGATATTTCTATCTAGGTTTGCTTATCATTAGCCTTTATGTTTTTTATTATGTTAAAATTGTCTCATGCTTTTTTTCTGACATGAGATACCTGAGAAGTGGGACATCTTTCATGAAATCTCTTTGTTCCTTCTGTGCAGGACCAGTACCTGGTGATGCCAACGGTCCCAGCATATTCTCCAGTGGACGCTGGTCCAAAAGTCATTCTTGAGTCCAGATCCAGGAAATACCCATATGTCCATAAAAAATTAACAACAGCTGAAGGTCAGTTCAGTGTAGTTTGTTTTCTGATAGAGGTACCAGTGGGAACATTTTTTCTTCTTTATTTGTTCCTTCTCTAGTGTCTATGCTTTTATTGGTAGGTCTGTTGGGAAAGCTTCATATCTGCCTTGAGGGTTGTTTTTTTAGACACATACATGCACATACACACACTCTCTCAAAGACACACAGAAAGGCGCACTCATTTAACACACATACACATACATATATTTGCACACACTCACACACACACACACACACACACACACACACACACACACACACACGCAAACAAAAACAAAACAAAAACATACCCACACTTAAAGCAAATCAAATTTGTAATTACTTGAATTCACAGGAAAGTTTGTGAAATTTAAAAGGGAAATCTTTAGGTATATATGGTGATTCACCTGTTTTGCGCCATTAAAACCTTCTTTTCCGCAGGGTTCCCGCAGCCTCCTTGAATTCAAGGAGTCCTTGAAAACTGCTTGAATTTGCATTCAAGGAAAAATCTCCTTGAAAACCCCTTGAATTTGCATTCAAGGAAAAGGAAAAATCTCCTTGAAAACCCCTTGAATTTTGCCAACTGAACTTGGAAGCAGATTTTACTTTTCAGAATTTTAATTTGATTGCTATTAGATCTAGATTTAGATCTAGATCTTGGTCTCTCTGCAAAGCGCGCGTTGGTGCAACTCTTGTGTGGAATCAGGATCTGTCTCACTCAAACCTTGTAAGCTGTGGGTTTTTTTAAAGTAAAGGGTTCCCGTTTCATTGGGCAGGTGATAGTAAATTATGTACTATATTCTATATTTTAGCATTCTGTTCAAGATTCGCAGATTTCCAGTGTCACTGCATCTTGCCCTCCCACAGTTAGTTCTTATATCTCTCATACTGAATATGTCTACTTGAGCCATTCATGTAATTACACTACTTTGAGTTTGAGCTATAATTTTTGTCTTTCACGTTTATTAAGTAAACTTTGACTCCCAAACTGGTTCTTGACGGTCAATATTCTGGTTCTAGACCTTTTCTCAGGCTCAAAGAGAGGTTCATTTTTATATAATTTATATAGGCGAATATGATGAGGGGAAAATATAAATAAGTATAAGAACAGACTGAAATACCTAAGTCACACAGTATCCCAGTGACAACACTGACATGTTGTTGACTGGATATAATGTGCCTATATATTATATATAAAATATAAATGGAGCATGCACTGTCATTGTTATGTGACATGCCCCTGGAGAATGGATGAGCCCATCTGGAAAATTGAGAAGCGGGGTGGACAGTCACCCTGGGAACAGTTTTTGTTGGAAATCGAAACTATGATATGATTCCTTTCCGACAAGTGTAGGCCTATGGAAAATAGGCTTTCGTCATGAATTTCTTGACCAAACCTCCTTGAATTAAAAAAATTTCTCCTTGAAACCTCCTTGAATGTGATGGGAAGTTCATGGCAGGAACCCTGTTTCCCAAATTTGGGTCTGTTATAGGCACATTTTTAACCACGAGAAGGCATTATATAGTCTAACTTATGCTCTCCTGCCATGTTGTGTGTAGTCTCATTTTTGTTCTTTTTTGTTTTGTTCTCCCTAGAAATGAGAAAGCCAAAAGTGTCAACTGTCGGTGTCATTCCAGTGAGATCGAGGTACATTCAGCCCTCTGTATTTTGTTAACATGTTTGTAGGTGCTTTGTCTAGTATGAAGAATTTGGATAATCTGTCATGATTCTGCCAATGGTATGTTGAGCATGATGCTCCTTGATCGCTTTGCAACCTCGTAACGTATTTTCTTCTTTTGCTGAATTCTGAAAAATATTATAATGTGATGTGTTTGCCTGAAGAAGTTTCAATTCTATGAGATCCCTGACATTTTATCAATGATTTTTAAAGAAAATCGCATCTTGTTCATTGTCCACATAGAAAAAATACCAATAACATTTTGCTAAGCCTTATTTTAGTAAGAACCTTTTCTTTGTTTATGGATACTTGCGAATACAATAATATAAAGCAACTAGTTTTGCAAAAATGTTTTTCCAAACTCAGTTTGAAATGTCTGAGAAAATCTTGTACTCTTTTCCATTGTACAGTTCCGAGATTCCCAACCTGCGAGTGATGATGGAAGGTGGGCCAGCTCCAGCTGATGGAGAGGTGAGTACTCTATGTGCACCTGCACCATTCTCTCATTGTTCAGATCAACACCCATCAAATCTCTCATTGTTGAGATCTACACCCACCCTTCTCTCCTCATTGTTCTAGGCCACACCCACCCTTCTCTCCTCATTGTTCTAGTCCACACCCACCCTTCTCTCCTCATTGTTCTAGTCCACACCCACCCTTCTCTCCTCATTGTTCTAGTCCACACCCACCCTTCT